ATCCGAACCTCCACCGAGGCGGCCTTCGTTGGACTCGCAGGGCTGTCGTCAACATCGACAAGACGAAGGTGAGCCCGTTCCTCGCATGAAGGCCTCAACCAGAACCCTCCCCTCGAACTCTCGAATCCACGCAGTCACCCAAGTCAAATATTACGTGACGCTGCCCCTCCGAGCCGTGAACGCGGTCTTGCGTGAGCATCATGAACTCCCGTTACCCCTGTTCCGCGAAGCCATTGTATTTCTCAAGTGTATTCTTGTGCTGTTTTATTTTTTTCTTCAGCAGCAGTTGCAGAGCGAGGCTGAGGCTAGCCGTTGCCCATTGCATGATGCCTTTGCATGCATGGGCGACGACCGGTTGCCTTTGCAGACCGGTATATAGGGTGAATTAAGGAGAGGAGGATGTGGGGATCTGAGGGGCGCCTGCGACCATTTCGCAAGCATTCCGCCACACGGCCACACCCTTTTGCTTTCCTGCTCTGTTAACACCACGTGGCGATAGATGGCGCCACGTGCGGGCACGGCACGCGGTATGCTCGCGCCGAGGGAGCGCTCTCTTCTCAGTGGTCGGCGCCGGGTAAGCACGTGTTTTCCTTCGTCCGCGTCCCCTTTGGGAATCGCTGTACTGTAACCTGCCTGGGGAGGCCTTGGGCACCTCGGCAGGCGTGTTTACTTGAGTGGTAGCTTCGGTAGCGTACACTAAGCCCACAGCGGTGCCTAGTGCTTGAAGTGGTTGTACCACAACGAGCCGCACTTGCCGTAGGCCTACGCGTACGAGGTTTGCCCTAACACTCGCGACCAGGCCCAGTGGCCATCGTGAGAGTGCGCAGCATAGCCGCGAGGGACCTTTTCCCGGCCGGCGTGTCAAAGCTCGCCATTGCCAGCTGTGACGTGCTCGCGGTTTTCCCCTTATTGTGAACGTCCGCGAGCGGGTGCCTTTGCTACCCGCGTCCCGGGAGCGGAAGTTGTACTGTTGTTCGGGGTGCCGCCAGAGGCAATAAAGTGTTGTGTTTTTGCTTAGAACACTGTCTGTTTGCCGCGCCGCGCTAAACGCCTTATTAGTTGAGCGCGCGTGGAGCGGTGCGCTACACGCGAGTAAACGGAGTAGCGGCCCTGTGGCTCACTAAGCGTGAACCCGCGGTGATCGTCCGCTGCAGTTAGTAGCAGGGTCACCATAATGTCAAGCCAAAAGAAGCGACGTCGAACCTGGTTATAAGTTCTTGAGACTCAGAAGTGACCAGCCGTTGGAATATCACGCAACAGCTCGAGGAAAGTCGGACGCATATGTTGGGGTATGAGCAGCAGCAGCTCAAATCCATCAAGATGCATGCTGTAGCGATATAATACACCGTCTCGGAGCAGGAACACAAGGAGAGACAGAGAGCTATGGGACCACTTAGCTGAAGGATGATATCTCACAAGTGAGGATCACGACAGTGCTCATCTCTGATGTTGTTGAGGAAAGCACAAACAGGCAAGTAGACTCGCCGCTCTATGAAACGGCCGGAGGATCGACTGAACGACGCAACAAGCAGTCAGCATTTTCGTGGCAATGGCCCGATTTGTTGACAACTGTGTACCAATATTTTTGCAACCGTAAAGCCCACTGGCCAAAATAACCACTAGGATCTTTTAAGGATGACAGCCAGCATGAGGCATGATGGTCATTGACAACTGTGAATGGCCGTTCATACAAATATAGCCGAAATTTGCCCACTGCCCCAACGAGCACGGGGCATTTGCGTTCGGTGATTAATTTCATTCTGCTGGCGATAAAAAACTGCTAGCATATGCAACGATGCGCTTTCAGCCATGCTGTCTTTGTGCCAAAACTGCTCTGATTTCGTGGCCACTTGTGTCCGTGTGCACTTCGGCTGGAGCAAACATATCAAAGTGGCTGAGAATTGGTGGAATTGTAAGTCTGGTGGACAGTTAAGCGAATGCTCTAGCTTGTTCAGGTCTCCACACAAATTTCACATCTTTCTTCAGTAGTTCCATTAGTGGGCACACGACGTCAGTGAAATTCTTCACAAATATCTGAAAGTAGGAGCAGAGGCCCAAAAAGTTTCGAACATCTTTTGTGGAGGTCGGCAAAGGGAAATCTTTGACTGCATGGATTTTCTCAGGGTCGGGACGAACACCAGAAGAATCAACAACGCGACCGAGGACAGTGATTTGGTGGCAGCCGAAGTGACATTTCAATGAGTTTAGCTGAAGCCCTGCCTTGCGGAAAACGAAAAGGATGGTCGAGAGGTGCTCGAAGTGGTTTTCGAAAGTCGGCGAGAAGACAATAACGTCATCAAGGTCACACAAGCAGATTCACCATTTAAAACTGTGAAGGAGCGCGTGCATCATTCGTATGAGGTATTGCATAACTCGAATGGCATTACTTTAAACTGATAGAGTCCGTCGAGAGTTATAAACGTATTTTCATAGTCCATGTCATCAACTGCTATCTGCTTGTAGCCGGAACGAAGGTCGATGAAAGAAAAATAATTTGCTCCACTAAGGCTGTCAAGGGGGTCATCCATCCTTGGCAGGGGATACACGTTTTTTTTTGTTACTTTGTTAACATTACGGTAGTCGACACAGAACACCAGTCGTTATCTTTCTTTCTCAAAAGGACAACAGGTGAAGTCAAGGCCTTAAAGAAGGCTCAATGATGTTCTGAGCAAGCATCTTGTCGACTTCTTTCTGGATCACGTGGCGTTTGGTGGAGGATATTTGATATGGCCGCCGTGGTACTGGATTTGCATCGCTGGTATTGATCTGATGCTTCACGACGGTCGTTTGGCCTAGTGATCGGTCGTAGAGATCAAAGATGTCTTGATGATGCAAGAAGGCCACGAAGCGTGTTCACATGCTCGACCGGGAGATCAGAGGCGATCGTTTTCATCACACCTTCTGGTAGAATGCCTGGCTCAAGACTGGATGGTGATTGTGTATCCTCTGTTAAAGCGGAAATGTGGTAGTGGCTGGCCGGAGCATGGGTTGCAAGGCCACTCCTGCTTGGGCCATGTGGCCTGCAGTATTTCTGTAAATAAAAAAATATTTCATGGGACAGTACTTGTGAGCTAAGTTCAAAGTTCACAATAGGGAGACGTGCCACATTGTCCTTCATTGTGATAGTAGTGTGCGGAAACGTTACATTGAGCGAACAGAGGACGGTAGCCGTAGGTGACTGGACATAATTTCCATCGGCCATAGGCTGATCGGAAGAGACGTTCATATACATCACAGCTAGACAGAATAGTCAAATGCAGTCGGTAACGCAGGAGCAGGAGAGTCAACAGCGTGTGGTAGGGCAAGCTAGCAACACCAGCAAAACAGTCAATTAGGGTGGAATGCTTCGACATAAAATGTAATCCCAGAATGATTTCATGTAGGCAGTGGTTCAGGACATAAAACAGAACGGAAGTATGACATCGAGCAACAGTGACGCGGGCGACACAGATCCTAGTGACAGCTGATGTTGCTCCATCAGCTCCTTGGAGTACAGTGATATGAGTAGGAGTGAGAACTTTCTTTAGCCGAACACGAAGGCTGGAGTTCATTATTGATATGTGAGCGACGGTGTCAATGGGTGCTATAGCAGATGTGCCATCTACATTTATGTTAATCAAGTTCTTGTGTCCGGGTAGCATGCGTAGAGAAATTTCGGGTCAGGTCGTCAAGGCAAACTCACCTGTAGGTGCTCTCGAAACGTAAAGGCTCTCTACAGGGCTTGTCCTAAACACACCAGTAGCGAAGCGAATGTCTAAGTGGTGCATGGGGTCGAGCATCTTAAAGGCGCTTGGTGTTGTAGACTGATACACTATGGACCTGTAATCTGTACGTGAGCGTGTGGATTTTCGTACAAATACATAAGGCATTTTTGCCACTACCCCATGCGGGGCTCGAGTGCAAATCGAACTCAGGCCATCTGCGTAGCATGTAGGTCTCCCACCACGGAGCCACTATATTGCTTGAAACTTTTGAGACATGCACAGAGAACCGAAGAAAAGCTAGCAATTGAGAAGGCGATGTACCTGGGGTCTGATTACGCTACCGCATTCTACTCTTGATAGCGAAGCTCAAGTGTACTCCAAGTTTTTTTGCTTACATGGTGTTGGAGTGCCATCACTGGCAGAAGTAAAGCAACAAGAAAAGAGAAGCAGTACCGTCATGCGGTACCATATCTGCATGCCGTACTTCTGTAACTTGCTAAAGGACTCTAAAAAGATTCAGCGGTGTGCACGTGTAACATTTACATGTACCCCCACATTAGGAAAGCCAGATCCTCTTTCTCGCCACTGTCTTTGCATTCTGCGTCATTTTCAAATGCTCATACGAAGGAACAATAATCTATGCCATGCTTTATTGATATTGGCTGCACTGATCATGACACACAAATTTGCAACTCGCGGTTGGCATGTAGTTAGGTGGGGTTTGCAACATGCACCAAATGTATTGATGACAGCCGAGGCCTGCATTGACAGGCAATTTGAACATTTGAACAGATCAAAAGAGCATGAACTTGTTTTCCTGAATGATTTCATGGTTGCTTAAAAGTCAGAAAAATCAAGATGTATTCATCTTCCACTAGTCTAAATACTTGAAATAGTCAAATTACAGTCAAATAGCAAACACTATTAAAAATATTTGAAAGTTCAAATATTCGCTCATCTCTAGTTTATACCCGACAACTGTCCCTGAAGAACAGTGCCTGCATTTTATAGCTAAGCAAGGTTGATAAACAAGTGAAATTTTGCCAACAGACTACAAGGCCGGTGAAAAACAAGAGACAATTAGACAATGGTTTTACTGCACTGCATCATCAAGTACTTCAGCTATTTTAGAGCATACGTAACAGTTATTCAGATGGTGTTTCTACCTTGTTTGCTGAGCTAGCCTTAAACTGTAGACATCTACGATGTGAGAGGCAATTTGAGGCGGTCTTGCTTATTTAGCCACGACAGTAAAGTACTTTTAGCTTTGCTACACACAAGATATAATGCACTTACTGGTCACTGATGACTGAAGACTTGAGATGCGACTTTTTTGATTCCAGGTCATCTTTAACCTTCCTAATGAACCATTCGTCTTTACCGCTTTCAACACTTGCACTCAAGAGGGCGTTCCACCATGGCTGGCTTCTGGGCAGTGAAAACTTGTTGATTGTTTCTTTAACTGCATCGGTTGTCTGCACGAGCTGCTTCTTGGCAGAGCCAATGGTGCTCAGGTAGCCATTCAAGTACGACTCTCGTAGCTTAGCTGCCTCCTCATGCAGTTTGTCATCACTGGGAGCCTGTGGAATGTAGGAAGCCCTGTGGTGGGATGAGTCGGTTGTTTTCTCTGTTGAGGCTTGAGTGGAACTTATGTTGAGGGCACCCTCCTCCACATCAGCATCTTGGGAACAGCTTGTGGCATTTCGCAGCAGCTGGGCCAGGTTGTGCAGGGCATGCAGCTGCTGCAACCGGTCTGTCTTGATGTTCCTGCTGTGGTCCTTGACCGACCAGAGCACTTCCCGGTACATGTCAGCCGCCTCCCTCCTTTCGTCCCTGATGATGTGGATGCCGGCTATGCCTGCATGTAACCCACCAGTTCATTGCACAAAGCTCGAAGTAGGCCATTCTTCCGTAGCATCAACTGCAGAAAACAAACGTAAAAGTAAAAGTACGACACTTTTGACAAAAACTTCACTCAAATACTTTGTGGTAGTCGAATGAAGCTCTCTTTAGGGCGAGATGTAATGTACCATAGAGCCGGAAAATTCAGACTTTCCAGAAATTTAGTGACAAACAAACATTTTGGTGGGCTTCAAGAAGGCATATGCAAACTAAGCTAGAAAGAAGATGAAAGGCATTGTGCGGAGGCCACAAATGGTGCAAGAGCATTGACGAACCAACAGTTGTAATTATGTTCGGGTGCAGGAGCTCCCTAATCTACAGATCCTAAAGCAGTGGCGAATCGCTTTGGCCACTGTTGTCTAGAATATAACCAAGAATTATTTGAACACTGTAGAGCTCTTATTGATGAGGCATTAGCAACGAGCCCTATCTACACTTTTCTTTAGAGTGGGTCTTACCCTGATCTGTTCAGAAAGTCTCACCAAATAATTAGCTAGCCTCATTAGACAATATCAGTTGATTCCCACAATACCATCATAGATGGTACAGCAATGCTATCTGCCTTACGTACTTTAATACCCATGCCATACAGGCGCAAGAAGTGACACTCTGAAATTTTTAGTCGGCCAAGCTGCCACACGTCTAAATTTAAGGTGTTTCACTTGATGCTGTCAATAGCAGTGACTTTTGAAATGGGTAGCTTTAGGATATCTATAAAATATAAACATGCATTTTAAGAACTATACTCCGCATTCATGAAAACTAAAATGTAGACGTCAGCATATTATGGTGCCATTAGCTTGAGTTTGTCCTTCCCGACAACCAACCACAACAACACTGCAATTAACTGCAGCAGCTTCGGTCATTTCATACTGAATCCAAAACCTACAATCTTACATGACCCCTATGAAGTCAAAGCTGTTGCAATTCTGAAGTGGATTTCGCTATAGTGCAACTGAGAAATGTGAATCCATGTGTTGAATTCATATATAAAATATTTTGAGATAATAGATACAGTCGAACTTCGCTACAACGAATGCCGCTTCAACAAAAAAAATCACTGTTCCCCGTTGGCAGTCCATAGGAGTCAATGCATAAATGATGTTGCCACAGCGAACACTTTTCCTTCTGCCGTCCCACTTCAACGAAATTTCATGATGCAATTCCACGCTTAGATATTTATTGCTATACAGTAAACACAGTCTTTAACATATTGATGCATTTACAGAGCTTGAAGATACGTTGACTAAGTCTAAAACATGCATAGGCACCACCAAAAACCACTGCCCTTCAGCAAGCATGGGCATCACCATTGCTCGATAGCAAGGGCAATGAGACTGCCCTCTTTTTGCCACTGGCTTGCTTTTGAGCTGCAGAAAATCCGAAGCTGAAGCTCAGTTGCTTAGTTCATGGTTTTCTTTCACGGAGCTGTGCGGAACGTTGCCTTTTTAGATGTCAAAGCGTATCATTTCGTTCGCTCTTGGCCAATGTGGTAACTAATCAGAGCACCTGTCGTCCCCATTATCAATAAAATTAGATAGCCGCGAGGGGTGGATGTAAGACTGGCGTAGAATAAGGCAAAAAGCTCCGCTCCACGATTGCCTTACCTCCACCTCGGTGTTGTCGGATACAATTCGACGGCGGAAAGCTGCTGGTGTTAACGTGCGTGCTAATGCAGCTGTTTGATTCGTTCACCAAAGTGGTTAGAGGCCTTGTTTCAGTGTGCGCTTTTCCCTATGGCCTCGCTATGCATGAATGAAAATCGCGTCGTGACGCTGCTGAAAAAAAAATAGGAAGCAGCGGACACTTTTTGAATTTTGAGAATAAACGTTGCTTTGTTTTGCTAGCTCAGATCAGCTATATTTTTTCGGTTTCAATACAACGAAATTTTTCCTTAAACGAAATTTTTTCCGCACCCCGTTTTGGTATTGTGGCGTGGTGAGCCACTATCACGGAAGAGAGGAACTCGTACACATGACTGCTGCCATGGGCTACCGACGACTGCCGGTGTTTATTGTACGGTGGACTTATATACACGACAAACAGGTACATAGATCACAGCGCCATCTCTGGTGGCGTCGCAGAACCAATACGAATACACAACATATTCCCTCTCTTATTTTTTTTTAGTTGATTAGTAATTGTTAGTACGTGTTAGTGGAGAGGCATTTCATCTATATACAATAAGCATGGAATACGTATTTACACAACTGTACACTCAAAATGCCAAAAACTTTACACCAAAATATACACTCAATTGCAGCAAGCACATGCGTTCATGTCACTGGATCCACTCTAAACGTAATCCATAAATCTTTGAGGCAGTCGTCTTGTCCTCGCGGGTAGCTCCCGACGAGAAGGCGGTTGTGGAGAGGGTGGAGAAGAGACAGCCTGTTGTGTCTCTTGCGATGCTACACAAGGGCTGCACAGAACACTAGGCACTGGCACTGAGGGGGGTACCGAGTGGCACTGCTGATCGCCCACTGTCACAAGGCACAGGTGACGGGCTTGAAGGCTGTGCTGGGTGAGCGTGAACATCTGGCGTTTGCATGACTTGGTGAGGCTGGGCGGCCTGTGCAGGAACCTTGCTCAACTTGGAGGAGTTCCATGTTCGCCCATCGTCTAGGCAGAAAGAGGCTGGCCCTCGTTGTTCCACCACCTTCCGAGAACGACTGAACGAGAGGTCTCCTTTAAAAGAGACTGCCGGCTTCTTCACACGGACCATGTCTCCAACTGCTATATTTGGTTTCTTGGCTGCACGGCGGAAGTCTGTGTACATCTTGCTGTATTTTTGCTTCTGTGCGACTCTCTTCCGAAGCTGGCCAAGTTCTTTGGCAGGGTCTGAGAAGAATGATGGGGATGGGTGCCCAATGATGTCCAGTCGTGTTCGGGGCAGTCGTCCATGTAGGAGCAAGGCTGGTGCTACTCCCGTGGTTGTGTGAGGTGTGCACAGGTAAACACCCAAGTACTCCAGTGCCGCTTGTCGAAGAGGGCCATGTTCTAACGCAGCAACCTGTACAAAGTCCTTAAAAAGACGATTAAATCTTTCGACAAGTCCGTTGGCTTGAGGGTAATACACCGAAGAATGTGTCAGTCGGATACCACGCTCATCCAAGAATTACGAAAATTCTTGTGAAGAAAATTGGGGCCCGTTGTCAGTGACTATCTCGTCAGGGTATCCCTCTCGAGAAAAAATTGACAGCAAGAAGTTGGTGATCGTTCTTGTAGATACCTCGTTAGAGAATTGTACTTCGGGCCACTTAGAAAAATAGTCAACCAGTGTAATGGCGAACCTACAATCTTGAGGAGCTCTTTCCAGAGGGCCAACAATGTCTATGGCGACTTTTTGCCAAGGGCGCTCTGGAAATGGAACAGGTTGCAGTGGAGCAGGTGCCGTTTTCGCACTCTTGTCGGCCTTCTGACAGACGCTGCAGTTTTGTATTGCGACTTCTGTTTGCCGGTCCATACCCGGCCACCAAAACCGTTCTCGAAGTCGCGCTTTCGTCCTGACGATGCCGGGATGAGCTTCATGCGCTGTGGAGATTACCTGATGCGCAAGGAAATGTGGAACTACAAGTCGCTCCCCACGAAGAAGTAAGTTGTTTACCACTGACAACTCGTTGCGTAGCATGAAGTACGGCAGCAGATGGCTTGGGACGAGCTTGTGCGGAGGCCATGACGAAGTAACGTATTCCTTGACTTTTGCCAGAGTGGCGTCGTCACTGGTGGACTGCTCGAACTGGTCCTTAGCAATGCACAGCGGCTCGACTAGGAACACAACTTCTGTAGAGTCATCTTTAGGTTGGGGTGTGCATTCCGGCTTACCTTCCGCTGGAAGACGTGACAGCGGGTCTGCTACCTTGTTCTCCGAGCCCTTGCGGTATTCGACGGTGTAGTTGTAGCGTAGAAGTCGCTCAGCCCACCTTGCAATGCGAAAGGGACGTCGCCCTGTTCCCTTGTTAGACAGCAATGCTACCAATGCCTGGTGATCCGTCTGAAGAGTGAAAGGCCGTCCCCACAAATAAACATGCCACTTTTCGCATGCCCACACGCAAGCCAATGCTTCACGCTCGCTGGCGGAGTACTTCCTTTCTGCATTAGTTAGAGTGCGCGAAGCAAACGCAATGGTCAGGGTTTTCTGACCGTCCACTTGCTGCAAAACGGCACCTAGCCCGTATGCAGAAGCATCAGTTGCGACAGTCACTGGAAGAGCTGGGTCAAACATGTGCAACACCTTGTGGGAGGCCAGAAGAGTCTTCACTCTCTCAAAACTTGCTTGGGCGGCTGTGTCCCACTCAAAAGGTATGTCTTTGCGTAGCAGTTGACGCATAGGCTCGACTTCCTCGGCTAGCCTAGGAATGAACTTTGCGTAGTATTCGACAAGTCTTAAGAATGAACGGAGTGTGCCGGGTTCTGCTGGTGTGGGGGCATGGACGATTGCATCGACTTTGGCTTGAAGGTGTGCTATGCCTTCCGCCCTGACACGATGTCCAAGGAAAGAGAGTTCTGTTGCATTGAAAACATATTTTTCATTAAGTTTCAGACCTGCTTTCGCAGTGCGATGCAGAACTTCTTCCAGGTTTTTCGCATGTTCTTTCTCAGTCTTCCCGAAGACGATGATGTCGTCTATGTAACAAAGAACACCATGACAGCCTTGCAGGATTCTTGTCATGAGCTGCTGAAAGGCTGCTGGGGCCGACGCCAATCCAAAGCAGACCCTTTTAAACCGAAAAAGACCCTCGTGCGTAACAAATGCTGTGAGATCCCTGCTGTCCAGGTGCAGCAGGACTTGGTGGTACGCAGAGGCGAGGTCTTGCTTCAAGAAGTGGCGGGCTCCGTTTAAGGCATGCAGCAGTTCCTCAGTGTGAGGCAGCAGGAAGTTGTCGACCACAATGGCTTTGTTTGGCTCCCTTAGGTCAACACAAAGACAAATGCTTTCATCTTCCTTCTGGACTGCGACGATGGGAGAAATTCATTCGGAGGCATCGATCCTTTCGATGATGTCGGCAGAGAGCAGGGTCTGTAGTTGGTCGCTTACTGGTTGGCGTACTGAGAATAGGAGGCGCCTCAATTATTGGGCGACTGGGGAGACTGCCTGTTTCATCTTCACCTTGTGCTGAAAACCCCTGACAAGGCCCAAACCTGGGGTAAACAGGTGAGAAAACCTGGCCCACAGCAATGCAGGCATGCCAAACTTTGGCTCACTCTGCGGTTGCTCTACGATAGCGCCTTGCGGTGGAATGCGCCCTTGTGCGTCTGAGCTCATTGCAGGCAACGTTGAGGTTGTGGAGTAGGACGTTTGCTGAACGTCCGTGTGCAGGCAACGTAGCTCCTTCCCTGAAATTTGAAAATTCAGGGCTTGCACAGCATCTAATCCCAAAAGGGAGGTCCCACTGCGCGTTACGTAAAGCGGTACGACAGCTGTTCGTGCCTTGTACGACAGCGTTGCTTCAAACAGGCCAAGCACAGGGATCTTCTGGCGTGAAAAGTCAAACAGAGTAATGCTGGGGGTCCTGAGTTATACTTTATCTTGGAAAAGGTTTCGAAAGTGACCTTCCCCAATTATTGACACTGCAGAGCCTGTGTCGATGAGAAACGAGACTTTGCGCGTGAGCGGCTTCGGGTTAATCACCGACACGTCGACGTCAACATACAGGCCTCTGCGTTTGTTTGCGCACATGGTCAAAATACTGAGACCGCTCTCAGCGTCATCGTCGCAGAGGAGTTCGCGGACTGGTGCAGGCCTTCGTGGTTGGCCGCGACACGAGCTCCGACAAACGCTCTGGAAGTGTCCGCGGCGTCCGCAACCATAACAGGTGCGGCCGCGGGCGGGACAGCGCGACCGTTCGCATCCTGTTGCGCCGCAGTTATCGCAGTTATCACGAGATACGGCGTGCAGGGGGTTGGCAGTGGCAGTTTCCGGCTTGGGCTTGTAGTTTTGGCGAGTGCGTGACGAGCTACGACGATGCTGACTAAGGGGGCGGGACCCGTTGAAGCGAAATCGGGGGCTATCATGCCTCGCCAGGTTGCGTCCGCGTTGGCGCTGCATGATGCGGCGAATCGGGTTCGCGAAGGCTTCAGCTTCTTGGCGAGTTTGTTCGCGAAGTTTGGCAATTTCTACCGCTCGGTCAAATGTCAATGCGTCGCCTTCGACGAGCAGTCGTTCTCTGAATTGCGGGCAAGTTACTCTGGCAACGAACTGTTCGCACAAGTTATCGTCCACGGTAGCGGCGAAATTACACGGGGCTGCTAGTTCCCGGAGCGCCAAAGCAAATTCGGCAACCGACTCAACGGAAAGCTGTCGACGTTCACGAAAATGATGACGTTCCACTCGGACGTTGACGGTGGCGGTGAAGTAGTGTGCCAATGTGTCGACGGCAACGTCGTATGGGTCCGGAGGGCTTGCGGCAGCGGTGTGCGCGGATGTCTGTTTTTCCGTCGACTCGCTGACCGTGGCTTCAGTTGAAAGTGGTGGCTGGGGTGGGGGCGGTGCCGGCAAGGCGTCGAAAATCCGTTGGCCCTCGGGGCCCGGGCAGTGAAGCAGGAGCGCGCGATGGCGGGTTGCTGGCCACTCGTCGGCGCCGGACGCGAGCACGAAGTTCTGGAACAACCGGAACCAGCGGTGCCAAGGAATCGCTGGCGTGCCCGGAGTCTCGAGGAACGGCGGCGGGGGAGATATACCGGTGGCCATCCTCGTCGCCAATGTGGTATTGCGGCGTGGTGAGCCGCTATCACGGAAGAGAGGAACTCGTACACATGACTGCCGCCATGGGCTACCGACGACTGCAGGTGTTTATTGTACGGTGGACTTATATACACGACAAACAGGTACATAGATCACAGCGCCATCTCTGGTGGCGTCGCAGAACCAATACGAATACACAACACCCGTCAGTTTTGTTGTAGCGAGATTCGACTGTAATACTTCAAATATTTTATGGGAAGTACATTGCGCCTACTTTGATGTTGAGAGTACAAATTTGTCAGTCAAATGGGTTCTAGCGAAGGCATTTGGTGATGAATGGCAATAAAGCGCGTGGAAATAAATCTTGAGGCATAAAAAAGTTAATGCCATCTTATGTGCCCGTGTGACAAATTGTGAGGCAGTCATGTGCCAGCACTGTAAGAGCTAACCCTTCTACTGTAAGACCATCTTCACGAATTGCTGCTGCCTTTGAGGCACAGCTAATCTTTTTATTGTGCAGTGTCCTAGTTACACAATTAGCAACACTGAGTCCACTAATATGTGGCTAATTAGTTGGTATGCAGCTCATTCAATGCTTGTAATGTGCCACACAAATGGGTCACTCCAAGTGAAACGTCCCAGCCCAAAATTCGACCACCAGCGATTCTCCTGAAGCTGAAAAGCAACTGTGTGAGAGTTATTTTAGTGAAGTATTTTCGTTCAAAAAATTGTGTGGTCACGTGACCACCCTTCAAGTGAGCCAGCAAAATAAAAAGTTAGGCGGGAATAAATTATGCATATAGTCATGGGGTCGTGACGATGACGAAGAGAGCAGACTGCAGGCCGAATATTAAACTGTTTATTTAAGGCCGAACTTGTGGCCACGTAGAAAAAAAGTCAGATTACAGCAAAATACTGGCACTGATAATGGCGGGCAGAGCGTCGGCCGTCGATGAACTGACAAACGAAAAAGCGTGTCGGCATTTATACACTAGCCAGTGAATATTCTAGTGTTATCGCTAGCGGCGACGTAGGTTCCAGAATAGTCTGTACTGTTCAGGAAGTGGGCGTAATCTTAACAAATTGATCTACTGCAGTCCCAAAGCTTCTCGAACACTGCAGGTGCAGTTTGTGCCGAGAATTACTGACACTGAAATGGGTCGACAACAAAACTTGAGGTGGGAATGTGGCAACATGCAACCTTCAAACTGGGTATGGCATCACATTTGGTTTTAAAGCATTCTGTTGTCATTGCTCTTTCTCATGACGTCGCAACTAAAACTTATATTACTTCTACGACCTAAATAGGTTTAGCAAAAAACACATGTGAATTCAGGCAATTTTTTTAAAAACTGTGGCAATGTTCTAGCCGCTGAACTTCAAAAATAATTAAAACGTCTATATACAAACATTTATTGAGAAAAATTCTTGCAAAATTGACAAAAAGCGACTTTTGGGGGAGATTCAATTGTAAATTAAGAATCAAGGCCATCGGACTAAATATACATGCCTTTCTTTCTTCTACATGAGCGTGAGCCATGCTTCCCTCTTGACACCATTTTGCCGTATCGTCCCGACTCTAAAACGGGGTTTATTAGCGTAAGTAGTACTTGCACAGCAAGTCTTCTGATACGGAAAGCGGGCGGCAGCAAACGACACAGGAATCACAGCGCTCGGGGCAACAGCTCGCGCTCGGCTCCTCTCGCTAAAGTCATGATCCACTGCGGCACATAATCTTCTTCCTCTCTACAAAAGCACTTTCAACATGCCTTATTATTAATGTGCACATGGCCAAGCTTAGCCATTGCACAGAATCCAGCATAAACTTCAGAACACACCATTCATGTTACTCTGTACTCGTACAATATGCTCACTCCTGTGTTGCAAGACACTCCTAACACCAACAGCCAGCGCAACTATGACGACATGGGCAAGTAGTTGATTCAGTATCGAACACATCATATGCTACGTCACAAATGGCGTTGCTGCCACCTTTCAGGATATAGGCACTGAGCAATGCAGCATGCTGATCAATGACACAGTATTTCTTTTATTGTGCAGTACAGAAATCAGAAACTGTTTGGAAAGCCCCACAACAGAGCTTACCATTCATAGAAGACACCATTCGTCGATGTGCTTCTTCACACTCCGATGTTGCCTTTCTGATCAGAGATGTCAACAGTTCCTCCATGGTTAACGAGCTGCAGAGAAAAAGTTCACATCAACTGCAGCTCACACATACATGAAGCAAGTCACAGCAGCTTGCAAGGCTTCCTTCATGTAACTCAGTTGAAACACAAGTCAAATGGTTGTTGCTCATTTGTTAAATTATCAGTACTGCTGACTATAAAGATGATGGCACGACATACTGTGACTGGTCTCAAATCTCAAAGAGCTCATGCTTATGACATCAGCCTTACTGCTGTGTGTTTCAATAAGAAACAACTCATTTCTTGAGACTTGGAAGGAAGTGACGTGGTGACAACACAGTGGACCAGTTCTTAAGATAAATATTTGACTTATTGCCATTGCTGAGTAAAAACAAGAACACAGCGATTGTAAAACCCTACAAAATAACTGTGATTTAATTAGGTTTACAATAATAAATACATTAGTTTCGTGTTCGCCATCTTCTGTGCCACTGCTTAAACGCGAGCCATACCAAGTAAAGAAAACCATGCAGAGGCACTGCTGACATCCTACAGCAAAACATTTGAGTGCATGCAATAATGGTTACTTCAGTTCAGGTCACAGACTGCACTTGCTCATCTGGAAGGATATGTGACACATTTGTGAGCAGGTAATACCACTGTCAGGCGGGCACTTTAAAATCTTCTCAGTCAGGAGACTTCTCCCAAGAACGAATTTTGCCTGCAGACGCTACAAAGAGAGCCATTTCTTTTTCTGAAACGGTCTTTTATGAAAACAGCATTCGTCAGTCATTGTTATAGTCATGAATAAGTGACCTCAAAACCAGTCGGATGCAGCGATTATTAATAGATTAAAAAAAGTAAGCAAATATTTATTTTTCTCTTCTCACAAAAGGTGTAATAAACCCTTTAAAATCTAATTTCATTGTGCACTCTCGCAAAAAGGCCGGAAGAGTCGTGGATACCTGGCCCATTGCAAATACATGCAAAACAACAGAAGAGGTGTGCGCAGCATTGCAACATTATGAACAACGTCAGTGATCAAGCGGCCCTGAGTGCATGCAAATAGCAATGGCAAGATACATAACTTCATTTGTTTGATTTTATTTTGAAAGCTACCAGCCTGCTTTTGGCAGCGCATCTGAAAAAATCACTAAAAAGAGATGGTCAGTGCTGTGTGTTTTTAACGGTTGCAAAATACTGCTCCCATAAAACAGCTTTTGTGTGTTGACATGAAAGGGGTATTAATCATGCCTGCTGGTCGTGGATTGTTGATATGTGTTGACAATGTAACGGATGTAACTTATCATTTCACGCTACCTCATTGCTTCTGGGAAAAATGCAGCTCAGTGACAGCACAGAGTTCTTGTTTAACTCCATGCACAGCAAGAACACCATAAAAGTCGCAAAATGTGGTAGAAATCACCCGTTGGCGTTATCCACAGCGTCTACTTCACAAACGATATTGGCTCTTAACCTGGACTACACCATGCACACATCATTGGTTCTCTGGTTCACGAGACAAACTTCGTGATGCAGGAACAATTAAGGAGCTACAATCCTCGTCGGCTCATAATTACGTCAACATGCAGTGAAGCAACCACGGGTGAGTTCTTCGTAGTAGTCATGGCAAAGGTACAGTGTGTACATAACGTATCACATGTCAGCGACTTGGCTGCTCTTTTTTAGCTATTTGTGAAATTAGCAATAGAGCAAGTAATCTATTGCCGATGTTACATTATGCCCATCACACTTTCTTGTCACTGTTCACTAGATCAGTAGCCAAGTTACCAATATGTCACTCGTGTTTTTCACGCCTGAGGTCGCGATCGTAGTACCTAATTGCATGAGCTATAGTGGACATGTATCCCGCAAAGTGCGGCCACTAGCGTGGGTTCGGCTTTAGCGAGCCACGTTTGCCGTCGCTTCACAATAAATAATCCCACTCCACAAGTGTGCTTGCTCAAACAGCCAAGGCACCAAGCGCAGCGCGGCAAGTAGTACACAGTACTGCTCTACCAGTAATACCAGTTTGAATAAGATGCTCTGGCGCATGTTCCATCTTTTATTCCTTTTTCTTTGTGTCATCTCCTCGCCCTCTTATCTCTGTATATATATTGCCGCCATCTGTGCAATAAAATGGCGATAAGTAAGCGTTCTACCCTAACTGTGTTCTTTCTGTAATGTTCTCTGTGCACTAAGAAAGCATATTTTTTTCAAATATGCAATGCCAACCAGCCCAAGCAGCCACTCTTTTGAATATTACAGTGCTGTGCACCGCGCATACCCTTTCTTGCAAAAAAAACAATCCCGCACCAGTTTCCCTCGCCTGACCGATCCCCCCTGTAGGCACAGTCTTACGAAAGCTTGCCCATGGGCAATTTTACGCACCACTGAACTCGTCGATTGGCTCTTTACCCAATGAAATGGTGCCTTGGCCCTGCGGCGATGCAGTTTCAGCCGTGCATTCTGCATGGACATTTTCATGTGCTGCCCTCGGTCGTTTTGTAAAGCCCGAGACACTGGGAGAAGTGGTATTGCCAGAACGAAAGCTCTGAGATAAAGAGGCGTCTCACTACTTTACAGTGAGGGCAAAAGTGCTTCTTGCTCTGTGTTTCTTGCTCACACCGCTATAACAAGTGCCCCGCTCGGTCATTAGTTGTGTGCTCATGACGTATCACGGATGTCCTGTCACGTTGTCGAAGTGGGCAGAGCCACGACGACGGGCTGGTCAGAGAACGGTGGTGAGCAGCCGTGTGAAAGTTTGAAACCAGCTGATACGGAAGTTCTAACTCTTGTACCTTACTATAGCGCATATTCACAAAATTCTTGCAGTAGTATGTTTACATAGCAAAAGTGTGCATATTTCTCTTCATTGAAATTTTCGGACATGGGGGTTGTTTACTGGCTCTTCAATAGTGATACGAGCTGGGGCAACATTATAGACGTGGCCAATCTGAGTCCTCAGAACAACCCTCGAGCAGTCATGGGCACGTTACTAGTAAAAAGCAACAGAGTTGCAGTAAGTTACCAACACCAAAAAAGTAAGTCTGTTACATTTACAGTTACAGAATTTCCAAAAGTAACTTCTTACAAGTACAGTTATCATGTAATAGTAATGTAATTACTTTTCCGTTATTGTTTAAAATGCACAATTGATTATATGTCATTTAGAAAAACGTACAACATGAACTGGGGAGTGTGGAACGAGTGACGACGACAATCATTGAGTCTGATCATCGAGTTCGTCAAGGTGCATCAGACCCTGTTCGGCAAGCTTTGCACCTGCTGGACATGCAGACCATTTTTAAGCCCCAAATGTTCACATCGAACATTCAAGATCGCACAACGGCAAGCGATAAATATGGAATGACTAAATCAGTGAAACGGGCAGGACAGAATCAAGACAGGATCAGGAAAGGAAAGATTGCTATGGTCAACCATGCACCACGTTCACGGATAGAGCTTGTTAAACACAGCTTAACTAGGCATAGCTTTGGCCTAAACAATGCGACAACGCTGGCTCATTAACGAAAATGAGGGGAGAGTTCTGGAAATGTAGTTAATTCGCCACGGCACATCAGCCTTCCTCTGACGAAGGAAGGCTCTACCGAGAACAGTGCTAGAAACTGAGGTAACAAAAAGTGTATCCCCTTCTCCCCTCAGGAAAAAAAAGAGGGGGGAAGAGAAGCAAACTTAGCAAGCTGTTCAGTTGCTGTATGATTCATTGACATGTAGTTGGCAAGTAAATTCTGGACACAATCTTGCGAAAGAAAAATATTTTACTTAGCGACCACTTTTTCTGTGCAATATAGGGAGCCCTATAGTGGAAGGTAGAAAGATCGGGAGAATATGGTAAAGAAGAATTTTATAAAAGGAAAAGCATCTAGCCTATTGGCTTTCACGCTTGGCACCCGCTGGCCAGGTTGGTGAAGCCAAAAGAGCTTTGACCAGCACATTGCCAGCCGCCGACAAGATGTTTATTTTTGGCAGTGTTTCATAGATGACAGCACAGTATTTTGCGTTTGCCTTTTGTTTGGTATATTATCTGCTAGATGGACATAGTTGTCCATGTTTTTTAGCTATGCATAAGTGTGTTTTTTTTTTCCTAAATGACGAAGGGTGCCCTATCCCGGCTTTTCCAAAACATGGCATCATGGAAAAAACGTGGTTCGATGAGTTAAGAAATTCTGAATCTTCTGTTTTTACAGTGACCCAGAAAGCGACGTTTGTAATGATGACAATGCTTTCTTAGACAGTTGTGACTGCCAAACTGATGAAAGTGGCAGTGATGAAAAAAAGAATGTGTGTTCATCGGACACCTCCATAGACACTTTGCAGACACTTCGAAAGAAGTGCAGTATTGAAAACTGGTGATGGCAAGAAGATGAAAGTATTGCAAAAATTGTCAAGCAGCCTTTCAGCAGTCAACCAGGTATCAAGAGATCCATAGAGCTTCAAGCAGGTGCAAATCTGAGCGCTCTTAGAATGTTCCACGGGTTTCTTGAAGAAGAGATTTGGGGTATCATTGCTTGCAGAAACCCACCTGTCGCAGCTTCACCAAAGCCGCGAGAATGGGCTCAATTTCCTCGCCACATCCTGGCAAACGAAGTCAAGCAAAACCCAACAAGACATTGCTTAGTTTGTAAGGCACTGGGCAAAAAGTCCGAGAACAGAAAAGAGTGTGAAGTTGCTATTGACATGCTCACACGCTTCTTCACACTTGAAAATCACACCTAATGCAAGCAAGCATTGTTAAGCAAATAAAACAAAGTTTAATATTCTATGGCATTTATTGCATATTGTATTGCAGTTTAGGTGCACCTACCCATGCCACTGGCGAGTGCAAAAGTTTTCTGGTGGAACACCAGGCAGAAACAGCCCCGGAGAGTGCACAAGCAGATGGGTTAATATCAACCATGGACTAGTATTGCTGAAGGAAAATTTTTGTAAGAGCAAAAGTAACTGTAACGGTACCTTCCGCTACAGTTACTGAGTAAAAAAGTAACAGTAACAGTTACAAGCTCTTTTGACTTTACTGTTTACAGTTACACACAACTGAAAACAGGAACTAGTTACTGCCAAAAACTGCTGTCGAGTATTCACTTCTCTCAATGAAGGAGCCAGCTGAAGCAGGTAATTTGAACACAGAGAAATTATTTTTCTGATGAGCCCAAAATGTCAGGTGGTTTTCAAAATAGGTACTTTGAAATAGGATAGAAAAATGGTTCCAGAAGCTGAAAATATAATTTACGAAAAATCAATTTTTTTCCGCCCTTTTTTTTTGGGGATTCGCAAGCCGCGTCCTCCCTCATACAAGCAGCATCGAACATTCAAGTCTCGCCTAAGCTCTCAATTAAACTTGACTATTTGTGTTCTGCATGTAATCTAAGCCGATTCAAGCGCCGTCTTCGTCAAGCACTGATGGCAGCATGTCGCGGGAAAAATGCGATTACATCAAGATCAGACACTAAACATGCATGGCTGCGGTATGTAATGTTTCTTACATATAAGCGGAAACCACAATAAAGGTTACTACATAATCGAGCTTGTATTCCTGGGCAGTTTCAAGCACTGCTATGGCTCTGACATAGAATATTCAACTGTCCCACAGAATGCCTGGGTTTGATTCTGGCTTGGAACTCTGATTTCCGTTGGTTGCTTCCGTCAGAATTTGCCACTTGCCGGCACCATATTGATGCCTACACCAGATTTTCAGTGGCACTGCGCTGTAAGGTTAAGATTTCTTAAGTCGGCATTAATATACGACCTGAATAACAAGCAGCATGCAAGATCATCATAACTTAGCCAGTGGTACGTGCCACATATCACTGTTGGAATGGGTATCACGATGTGCCGAACAAGAAGGTCACATATTCATGTCATGATGTGTCTCAAGCCTTCCTATACTAAGCCTGGTGCATATGAGGTCAAAGAGACTACAATATAAACAGCACACACACACACACAAAGACAGACGCAGTGAAAATGCCTTTGCACTTAAGATGGGTGGCTGAGAACAAAAGCTCCTGAACGTTATTTCAGTTTAGAAGCAGAGTGGAGTCAAAGCTGTCTTACTCAGTCCTCATGGGCAAGAAGGCACCCCTCACAGCACGTGGATGGCAGCAGGCCTGTCGTAAGCGAACCAGTGGCTGCAGCAGCTGCAAGAGCAGACGGGCAGGTCAAAACTGTCCCATGGCTAACACCATATGGCATTGTATTCACACTGCAGTTGACCAAAGTCACGTTATCAATACAATTTCCAATCTTCCATGAAAGAAGAAGTATTAATAAAAACAATTCACACACGACAATTTTTCAATTTTACCTTGAAAATGTGCTCTTCTCGGTATGCAATTTTTGGTACTATCATGAGTTTGCTTATTTTCTAGCACTTGGAGCTTAATGAAATCTTCTCTAGGATTTTCTTACCATGCAGAGAGTGCTGTTATCTTCTTTAAACATTGACACTGCTTCTTCATGAGGAAGGTATACAACCAGTGTATCTTCCTGGTACTTACCAATTAAGCAGAAAACTGAAGGCCTACAAGAAAGGTTTAACTTAAATTGTGGACGATCCAGCGAGCGATGGAAAAGAAAATGATAAGTGTAACGTTAAAGCGGAACTGACAATAAATTTCAAATTGAGAAGTACCCTTCATTCGGGTATGCATAGGTTCCCTCTCTGCAAATTCAAAAGGCGTCTGTCACGTGGAAGTCATTCTATTTGAATGCCAAACAGCATACAAAAGCTAAAAGAAATTGAGTGCCCAGCGACATGAACACTAAAGCTACGTGTTCGGTGCGATAAATTTTACACATACTATCCTGAGTGATGATGTGCTAGTAGTAGTGATGACGCCTACAATCCACAAATTTTCATCGAGGCACTGACGCATGGAAATTTTTTCACTTTTTATGTTTAACCTTCTTCGCACCACTTTGAATACTTGGTGAAATTACAAGATACAAACCATCTATAAAAGAAAGGTGAAAAAAAAAGAGCATTATTAACGTGTGCTAGTCATCTAGCATGTCGTCGAACTGTTTTGAGCTCCAATCGTCTGGACGGAAGCATGGCAAAAGCGCAATTAGTGTATCCTTTCATTACCCGTATGTTACACACTAACATGACCACAAGCTATCGAAGTGGAGTAGCGGGCAGATAGATATCATCACTAACAAGTAACACACAGGTATTGTTTATAATGAATTTTAGTTCACCTGTAGACTTTTCTCGCATTCGTGTAATAATACAAGGTTACTGCCGCCCATGAGGAGCCGGATAGGTGGGGCCATCTTTACATGCAAAGAACAACCTGTCAAGAAGAGAATGTATTCTATTTCTCTGCAGGTGTGCATTTCCTATACCAATATATTGACCCCTTTGCATATAGTTGAATGCTGTGCATGTCAAAGCACCCCAACATAGCTAATTTAGACACACGAGCGAGCATGACTGAAGCATGCATCCTCAGACATCTCCTCATTGCTGCTTGCAACGGTATCCATTTTGAAATCACTGTCCTGCAAAGCGGCGATCGAAGAAAAAATTATTTGTTATGCCGCGAATCCTGTCGATTTGTGGCATAACAAATGCTGTCGTATTCAAGCCTAGTTGACACTTTGCACGGCAATGACAGCAATGCAGGTGACAAGGCATGACTGAACGTGTGCGCCTAGCAGAGAAAGTGTTAGTAGAGCAGCTGAGCTCTTTTCTATGAAGAAGTGGTCAGCTGCGGCGCGACCACGAGAAAGTGCTCCTCCCAGCAATGAAAACGGCAGGCTTGCGAATGCTACAATGAAACCCCGATAATACGACTTTCAGAATACAGTGTATAACCGAAAAACTAAGATTATATGCAGTGACACTTAGCCTTGCCCAAAAAAACTGGTACAGACCCCCTGTATCAGCCCGCGGAACAACCTTGTGCCTCTGCATGATTAGTGGGGTTTTCTGGCGCAAAGGCCATGCGTGGCCAAAGCGCGCCATATCTTTTATATTGTCGCAAGCAAAACAAGACAGACAGCCGGGCGTTGACCAGAACCAAAGCAACAAAATTGCTCTTTTCTTCTTCACACCCAAAACATGTATGAGCCACAATGGCTTGTTTTTCAATGGTGGCATGTGTCATTACCCCTCTCCCAAGAAGCATCATCTCAATGCTGTACATGAGGTCAAAAAGAAAATAAGACGAAGGTTACTTAATACACAAGCAAAATGAATGCCCTAATACGAAATAGCGTATACGGGTGTGAAGTCAAGAGTCAAATAAGAAAAGCAAAATAGAAAGGAATGGAAGAAAAAGAAACAAAAAGAAAGACATGAAGTCACCAATAATGTCAGTCACTTCACTGGCGAGTCACGGTGCAAGTACGATTTGAGCTTTGAAACGTGAATGACTTCAGTTGGCGGGAGGTGGCGGAACGTCTCGAAGTTCCTTCTGGGAGAACCTCATCATAAACGTCACTGAGACGTCGTACCGCCTTGTAAGGGCTGAAGTAGCGGCAGAGCAGCTTTTCTGAATGGCCATGCTGCCGGATAGGGGTCCACACCCAGACTTTATCACCAGGCTTGAAAATACCTTCACGGTGACGAAGATTGTAGCGTTGTACGTCTGTGGTTTGGTGACATTGAATACGACAATGAGCGAGTTGACGGGCCTCCTTTGCGCATTGGACGTACTTGGCGGCATCCGTGTAATATATTCCTAAGTTGTCGGGCAGGCGCATGGCATTAAGCATCGACGTGACCTTGCGACTGTTAACTAAGCCAAAAGGAGTGAAACCGGTACTTTCTTAAATGGCAGTATTATATGCAAAAGTTATTAAGGAAGAATATTGTCCAAGTTCTTGTGGTCGGTGCCCACATACATTGACAGCATGTCTGCAATCATCTTGTTGATTAGTTCAGTCAATCTGTTTGTTTGCGGGTGGTAAGCCGTTTATTTACAATGTTTTGTGCCACTTAATCCCAAGACTTCCTGCAGCATCTCTGCGGTGAAAGTTTTCCAACAATCAGTTATGACGACAGCTGGCGCACCATGACGTAGGACAATGCTGTGAGCGAGAAAATGGGTGACGCTTGCTGCGATAGCATTTGGACGTGCCTTTGTTTCGCACTAGCGTTTTAAGTAGTCATTAGCGACCACAATCCACTGGCTTCCAGACGATGACGTGGAGAATTCTCCAAGCAAGTCCATACCAATCTGATGAAAACGCGCCTTAGGTGTGCTTATTGGTTGCAGCTGGACGTAAAGGTGGAACCTTACGTCACTGGCAGTCCTGACATGTGCAAATGTAGTGCTACGCAGCCTAAGCGAGACATGGCCAGTAGTAGGAGTGGCGAATTCATTGCAGCGTGCGCGTAGAGCCGAGGTGTCCAGACGATGGCTCATTATGACAAGGATGTAAAATGTCGGCCCAAAGCGTGGTTGGTGCAACAAGCATATACGTAGCTTGTGTAGGATAAAATTTTTTTTTATAATGTACTCCATCTCAAAAACAAAAGGAGGCTTGCGAGCATGCAATACTTTGAGGAGGGTCAGAATTGCGCCCTTGCAGGTAGTCAATGAGTGGGATGAGCTCCAAGTCGTCACGCTGTTGCTGAACCAAGCTGGTTGCTGATACAGCAGAGAGAAAAGTGTCACTGTCTTCAAGGTCAGTGTTCACATTTTTGACTGGTGCATGTGAAACACAGTCAGCATCACTGTTTTTCCACTCACGATGGTGATGTCGAATTCTTATAACGGAGAGAGAGAGGCCTTAGACATGATGCGGAGCAACAGCACACCCACTCGCTCCTGCATGTGGAAGAGGCAGCGTTGAACCCCTACTTCTGGATATCTTCAATCGCCCTTGTCGACGACTGGAACCACCCCAGCACCCAATACAACTAGCCCCCGACTACAGTACACGGAAGATTTTTGGTGAGCGAGCTTTTCCTGACCCAGGTGATAGAGATGCTAACTGCGACGACGAACTCGCACTGCTCGCGCCACCCGACGCCGGCGTGGCGGCTACCACAACAGCTGCTCCTCGCCGCGACGCCGGTGCCACCCAACTCTATCTGACTCGCCCACGTTGAGCCCTACCTTCAGAAATCGCAGCAGTGTTAGCCATAGTGGTCGAAGTCAAAGGAACTAAGATCGCCCCTGAAGACGCCACCCTCGAAGCCAGATGGATCTCTAGCTACCGAAACAAGCAACGCAAGCATGCATCGAACGCTCCGGCATCGCCAACTGGCGATGCCGGAGCTTTACAGGGGGTGCCAGCACCCCCACATACTATAGACGAATTCATTGAAGCCCAAGGTATATCGCACTACGAACGATTAGGCCAAACTCCTACAGGACGTCATCTCATGTGCGCACTCGGCATACCTTACGTCTCCCAGTTTGGCCAGAAACTCCCAATTCCCCCATACCACACAATATGCACCATGAATATAACGTGGAAAGACGAGTAGACCGCGCCAAGCAACTAGGCAAGCGTTACGCGAATGCCATGTACGTGGCGTATGTAGACGCAGCGGAATATCCTACGTATCAGGCCATGGCCCACGCTGTCGCCACCGGGCCGCAGTACATGATTGCCACAACTGGCACCAACCCGAAGAAGGCGAAGAAGCAGCCATCGCTCTTGCCTACGCTTCAACCCAAGCATCCTGCATCATCAGCGACTCCAAGACTGCCATACGCAACTTTACCAAAGGTTTGATCTCCCAACCGGCGCTCCGAATTCTTACAAGTACACCTCTGTTACGTCGTCGCCGCATTGAGATCATCTGGACTCCGGGCCACTCGGGGCTCACGGGGAACGAACAAGCTCATGACGCCACCCGAGCTCTTGTCCAACGGGCGCGTCATACAACAGAGCACCACCCCTTGCGACCTGGCGCGGCTGAGCGAGAGATGACTCGTTTCGTGACAATGCGAGGGACAGAATGGTTAACTTTGGAGAAATCCTAATGTATTACCGCAAGGCCAGACTTAAATATCCACCACCAGACAAGTGCCTTAGTAAGCAGCAGTCCACTACCTGGCGTCTATTACAGACACGCACTTTCCCCTGTCTGTCACTGTACAGCCGTACTTACCCCGCTATTCACACACCACAATGCAAAACGTGCGGTGCACCTAATGCTGAGCTCCACCATATT